ATGTACGATGGATGGCTACATTCTAGATATAATTATGATGTGTTTCTACATTGCCTATTATTTATTTTTGTGATAATTTTTGCTATATTAATATAAAATTATAGCAGCTAATGTAGATTTACCCATTTTAGAGAAAACCTAGAAATAAAGGCTTTGTTAAATAATTTGAATCACAGGTTACTCCAATTTTATGTGCCAGTAAAACCTATGGTGAAGGAGTCAGCATATTTTATTATTTTTTTTATTTTTATTTTTTTGAGACGGAGTCTGGCTCTGTCGCCCAGGCTGGAGTGCAGTGGCCAGATCTCAGCTCACTGCAAGCTCCGCTCCCGGGTTTACGCCATTCTCCTGCCTCAGCCTCCCGAGTAGCTGGGACTACAGGTGCCCGTCACCTCGCCCGGCTAGTTTTTTGTATTTTTTAGTAGAGACAGGGTTTCACCAGGTTAGCCAGGATGGTCTCAATCTCCTGACCTCGTGATTCGCCCGTCTCGGCCTCCCAAAGCGCTAGGATTACAGGCTTAAGCCACCGCGCCCGGCCTGTCATCACATTTTAAATTTAAGAGAAAAAATTTTTCGAAGAAAATTATTCTACACATAATATATGGATTCTTAAAAGAAAACAGCTCCACAAAAGGCAAAAGATCTAACAATCTGTTGGCTTCAAATCCCATATCTCTCCATCCTTTACTCACTAGATGTTCAGCAGCATCCAATCACCAGGCCTGATCCCATTATTCAGATAGCTGCAGCTTAGTTAAAGGTGAAAGTGAGGGGACAATGCAACAAGCATGAGAGTGAGATCTCACTGGATCAGCATGTAGTCTATCCTGCAATGGTCCTACTCTGATCTTGGGATTTCAGTAGTCCAGCAAACGGTCCTCCACTATCTTGCCATTCTCCCTGTTTTTTTTTGTTTGTTTGTTTGTTTTTGTTTTTGTTTTTTACCTCAAAACCAGAATAACGTGTAACTTGGTTTCATTCCTGGCCAAATCACTAACCTAATTTACTACCCTTCGATCCCAATATTCCCATTATAAGAACCCTATTATGTGTTATTTAAATGTCTAGTATAGCTCGTCCCCTCCTACTTGGAAAGTCACCCAATTCTTAGGATCAATATGGACAATATCCAAATTAGTATCCATACCCTGCATAAGCACATAGACGTCTTCTTTGAATTCTATATCTAAAGTAGTCTCTCTTTCACCCAAGTCAAGTGCCTCTCCCCCAGATATGTTCTATCCAGTGGCCTATCTTTCTGTCTACATAGAACTTAACACTATCTGAAATGATTTTATATATAGGTTTTCAACGCCTCTCCTAATATAATTTAGATGAGCAAATGACCTGTGCTTATTAAGGCTTTCACTCTAGCTTTCATGCCCCCATTCCTATCATAATCAACCCCAAAGCTTGTTGACATGTACAAAATGTATCTTTTATTGTATCCCGTATCTGGTCATTTGGCTTGCATTGAGTATTAGCCATCAAAGAATAAATTAATTTCAAGAACATTACTTCAGAGTGTCAAGGAAAGAACACGTGGAACACATATGCAAACATATGCATGCCATTCTTTCCTATGTATTTAATAGGTATTAGTATCTATTGTTTTGGATTTATAGTATATATGATGTACGTATAAAATATGAAGACATTCTCATAAGCATTCTATTGACTCTAGACATAATAAGTGGAGGTGAATAATCAACAGGAGAAAAACCTTAAAGTAGTTCATAGAAGTGTATTTTATATACTTGTCAAGATCAGTCTTCTTTATACATTTTCCACAATTGTTTCCATAAAGAAATGTCCTTAGTTTTTAAGAAATGATCCCTCTTCTTAAATGCCAACTTTATTGAAATCAAAACAATTTCATTAAACCATAAACAAACTCAGTGTTCTCTTAGGTTTTTAACTATTTCTTTCTTTGTGAAACAACAACAACAACAAAAAGTCTTGATACACTCGAAGAAACAAAATATGAGAAAACAGAGTTGCAGTCGTAGGGGTGAATTATTTAATTTAAATGCAGTCAACCTTTAGAAATACATTTAACAATGGACAAGAGATACTCAGTTTTTCAGTACATGCTTATCTTGTGCTCAAGACGCTTTTAGCCAATTAGCTTGCTCAATTGACTAAGTACCTCCTACCTTACTTATTTGGATAAGTAAGGAACTTCAGCAGAGGAACTCAATAAGCAGAGGAACTTCAGCAAGATATAATTATTATATAGCAGCACACAAACAAAGCGGACATAAATCCTTGATGGAAAATAACTTATACAAAGCAAGATGGTATCTAACAAATTGGTCGGTGTGGCTGCTTTCCTAATTTAAAAAGCAAGGCCATTGAAATTCCTAAATAATTTGAATACTTTGGTTAAGAGTAGAGAATCAAATACCAAAGATTTCGTTTAAAAAATTAGATGAGGCCGGGCGCGGTGGCTCAAGTCTGTAATCCCAGCACTTTGAGGGGCCGAGGCAGGCGGATCACGAGGTCAGGAGATCCAGACCATCCTGGCTAACATGGTGAAACCCTGTCTCTACCAAAAAAATACAAAAAAAAAAAACCAGCCGGGCGAGGTGGTGGGCGCCTGTAGTCCCAGCTACTCTGGAGGCTGAGGAGGGAGAATGGCATAAACCCGGGAGGCGGAGCTTGCAGTGAGCTGAGATCCGGCCACTGCACTCCAGCCTGGGCGACAGAGCCAGACTCCGTCTCAAAAATAATAATAATAATAATAATTAGATGAAAAAGCCCTCTACCTTACTGAATTTCTTTTTCCTAGAATTTGTTCTTGTTTTACTTCTGATTAAATAAATATGCACCCCCTTAAACATGATACAAATATCTAAGAAGCTATTATTCTTTCATTAGTTGTTAGGAAATGAATAGAAGTGACTCATACAATAGGTGACATCGAAGGATTTGTGGGATTAAAAAATCTCAAAAAAAATGACAAAAATATACAGTAAAACATACAAGTGTTTATCTGTAATATCCTTGAGAGAGTAGTTTTTAAAAAGTCTTCAAGAAATGTGTAGTTGAAGATCTTAAGTGCTAAGGAACCTAACAGTTTGGGAACTGTGTCTTCTAGGATCAACAACACAGTTCCATGATGACTTGAAAAAACATTCATCAAGCATTTCTTGCCATTTGATAAGACAGAATTATTTGGTGTTGTTTCTTAGTATATTTTAAAAATAAATATAAAAAAAGGAAATTGAAGTTTTTTATACTGGAAGAACATTATTATGAATAAATTATTGCAGCTGCTAATCTGTTAATTCTGTGATTCAAAAACGGAAATACCAGTGATGATAGTGTTGTTACTGAAATTTACTTGGCTTTCTAAACAAACAGCATAGTTAGGTCTTCGAACAAGATAGATTCTCTTAATTGCACTAGAAGACAGGTATTTGGCTCAGGTATGCCATTTCTTGAAGGCTGGCCACCACATTTGCCTGACAATTGCCACCCTAATTGCTCTGCTTCTTCAGATTCCCTCTTTTTCCAGCAGGCAAACAACAAAGCTTTATTTGTGCTTGGAAATACATCAAACCACTCTAATGAAACTTCACTTTTCAGAAGTACTGTCAAAAATGTAAAAAGTGAGTTTCTTCTCTTAAAAATGAAAGATGGATAGATGTAAGCTCAAGTAGTAAGAGTGAAGAGTGCCTAGCCTTTCTTTTGCTCTTCAGCTCCATTTCCAAAAACATGTTCTTTTTATATCTGATACAATCTGAAAACTCTCTAGAGAAAGAGAGAGAGAAAAAAAGAATAGCTTCATTTTTGATACTATAAAATTTTCTTGAGTTTTTCACATTTCTGCCTGTTTCTCAATGCCTGGAAAAATTTAAGTCTTTAATATTTAATTTATAGCACATTTTTAGCTATATTTGTAACAAAGAATGTTCAAAAAATGAATTACATATCAACTATGGTCTCAGTAAGTTATATTTTAAAATAAAATATTTTAGCAAAAAATATAAATATAAAACATAATAAAAATGCGTGTTCCTAAAATACTTAGAAATTCCAACCACTAAATACCAGTATAGAGTACGTATACAGGGTTTCAGTATTTCAATTTGCTCCCCAAACTTTAGAAAATATATGTTAATATGTAAAAATGTTTATACTATAATACTATATGTGGTCTCTGTATATGAAATTGAATATGTGCATGTGTTAGTCTATAAAACTTAGTTTAAAATAAAATGTAAAAATACTACTGTCTTTCCAAAATAATTCAGAATCATGAAAGGAAAAAAAAAGACCAGTCTATATAATTCATATGAACCACATTTTTACCTTAAGTACCTCTTTGTAGCTAATTTCCTAATGTTATTTTTGCAGTCACACTTGATTCAAATATAAAGTAGTTTCCACTCATTAGTTAAGTAGTGGACTGGTCTCAGAATGCACACTTTTAATTCATCCTTGGACAAAGTTACAAATTTTTACATGTGACAGATATTTAGAGTTGCTTAAACAAGTCAAAGCTTGATTGAAAGTTAAATTCTCACACGTCACTGGCATGTTCACAAAAATCAATATGGAAGAGTCAGGGAATGTTCTTGAATAAGACAGAAATGGGCAAGAATCCTGGAAATGCCATAAAGAACACAAAGACAAACTATAGGTGGCCAGTCTCCAGCCCAGGTATAGAAAATTAGACAAACAGAGTTGCAGGAATGTTGGTTAGCAACAAAATGCAGTCACTATGTTAGAATGAGTGCTGGGCATGGAATGTGTGATCAGTAGATCTGGTTGAGAGGCAAAACTATCACCACTGAACCCTGTATCCTTGGGCAGCAAGTTAATTCCTATAAATTTGGAGAAAATAACACCCACCTTATAGAACAATTTTAAAAACAGAACAATGTTCATAAAAATTTGTAAAATATGTATTGATGTAAGCAATGTACCTATACTTTGCAAAATACTACACAAATTCTTTTATTTATTGATACAAATAAGATGGAATTTCTCACCAAGGATGAATTCCAACTGTGGTTCATTTGGAGTCTTCTGGATACCTATAAATAATAGATGCAAATTCAGCTTTAAAAAAAATCAAATTATCAAGAATATGTCAATATATATTACTATGCTTCATCGTGACCAGAATGAATAAATACAATATTTGGCAGAATGAATAAACTTGGTTTATCAGGCCTATAAATAATCAGTTTTCAGGGCAGGACATAATATTTGTTGCAGAACTAGATGTGACTTAAGATTTGATTGGTCATTTTATCTCTATGGTTATAAAGAAACCAAGAAATGTTGTTTTTGTAAGCCATGGCAAACAGAAAACATATTTTACAACTGTGTTTCTTTTGGATGCAATGTAGACAGAAGTGGATCCTTCATAAAGAACCCCCTTACCAAAATACTCTCTTAAATGGATTTTTTCCAAGCCACTCTGACCTGCTGTAAATAGTAAATCAATAACAAAAAAGATATCTTCAGCTAGGTTATGATGGACATTATAGTGCTGGTTGTTCTACTAATTTAGTAATAGCTCAAACCAACATTTTATAAAATGTTTCCATTCTTTCGGTCAGCAATGTTTAAAAAATATAACAAGATGGCTAAATAATTTAGGATGAACTAGGAGGGAAAGTGAGTCTGGGGACAAAGGTATGGAAATGGAACCATCTAATGGCTAGAAGGTAGAGTGATCAGATTATGGGAAGTGATATGGGTAGATGCCTGAAGACCACACACAGTGTAGAAGCTTCTTAAACAAGAGTGGATGACTGATGTATGAATGGGATGCCATTTGTTACAACTCAAGGGTGGTCAAATAAGTAAAACTAACATGTATGGAAAAGTAAACTATTTGGCAATAAATGAAAGAATATTATACAAATCCTTTCCTTGCTTATTTTTGCTGGTGCATTCGTCAGATACTATTTAAATTTACTGGCATTTGGTCACTAATACATTTTAAGAATTACCCTTTTGTATAAAAATTAACTGCTTTTTATTCACAGAGTTATTTATTTATTTACTTATTTATTTTTGCACAGTAACTGTATATTTTTTTCTTCTGCTGACATTTAACAATTGCTTTGGTTAACAATTTTTAGATTTTTCAAGAGAGGTTAAAGTGACAATCATTAGGTAGGCTTTTGTGAACTTGAAATGTCTGGGTTTTTTTAAAAGGTCATTAACAATTAACTCTGCTTTAAACATTGACAACCAAATTTCTCAAAAATGCCTCCAACCAACACAATTTTCTAAAGATTAGCTTTATAATGTAAATTAAAAGAGAAGGTTAGGCATATATTGGCCAGTGTTAAATAATTGGACTATAGGAATCTTCTGAAAAGAAAAGAAAAAGGCATAATTCATGCTGAACAATAAAAACCAAACCCTAGAATTTTAAATATAAAAGCAAACATACAATTCTTCCAAAGATTTTAATTACTTGAGTAATAAAAAATGAATTTTAATGTTCACATGCAAACTTGACCAAATCTCCACTGGCTCTATACTTGTGGCTTAGTGCTCTTTGGTATGGCAGTGACAGTCTAAATTTCCAGTGTAACCATTTTTTTCTTAATGCTTTCAACTTAACTTCCTTTTGGGTTTAAAGAGAGAATTTCTACAGTATAAAAAATATTCCCATATAAGATTATATAAATACCAATAGAAGTTATTCTTAGAAAGTATTAGTGTCTAGAAGGTATACTTAAAAAGTATTAGGCTCTTAATATATATTCAAGAGCTTTGGTCTTGTTACTTGATATTTAACCGTTTCATGGATCATCATCTATCTTACCCAAGATAAAAGATGAGAGGCATATCATACACTCACACCACCAAGGTAAACAGTGCAAAGGAAAAAATATTTAGGTAATTTCATGCCATTTGTTAGAACCGAAGTTCCTATGAATCTATGAATACATATATATACGTGTATGTTTCGTCAACCCAATTTGCATCTTTAGATGCAAAAACAGGGAGGGATACACACATACTTACTTGTGAACTGACAGTCCCCGGGATCACTGGCCTGGGCTGCAGGAAGAAAGTGCTGCCCTTCTTCTGATGCCCCTTCCTCTTTAATTTCCATGATCAACCTTCACAGTTTTAAAATTTTCCAAATGTTCTTGTCCAAATGTCACTTCCAGTGATTTCTGGTTTAATGTAGATGTATCTTCACACTAAAGATCTGATATCCCACTCTGAAATTCTGTACCTAGGAAACATCAAAAGTTAAAATTTCAGTCATATTGGAGTTCAGTACAAAGCTAAAAATTAAAGGTAGGTAGAGACTGCAACTACATTCAAATAAACTTTCTTCCTGCCTACTCCACTCATACTTTCAGGACCATTCCACACAATTAATGCATCATAAAGTCTAGGTTTAATAGGTATTCTCAAGGCAATTATTACATAGTCATATGAAAGATTTCTAAAACATGACAGGTATATTATTTCTCTTCTAGTTCATTCTGAAAGATAGCAGATAGCTGTAGAGGCTGCTAAATTAGTATAAAACCTAATTCAGCAGCAAGAGCATGTAGCATCTTGTCAAGACATTACCATGTTTTGGCAAGGTGAATATTACTATCGTTCTTTCCATTAGAATTGCCCTTTATGCTCATCTCTCCATCCACCCTTGTTAGAACATTATTACTGACCACATAAGAAATAATTTGGCATCACATTCTTCTTCCAAGATGAGCCAACAGGTTGTACAGGAGAGTTTCCAACCTCATTACTATCCATGGAGTCTTTTGCTGCTCTGCTTGATAAAGGTGTAATTGTTTAATGATCATGGTATATGCTGAAAAGAATGAATCATCCTTCTAAAAAGCTAAAGCTCAAGGGGAAATGAAAGCAATGGAAAAATTGATGAAAATTAGCATGAGGAAAGAAAGACTCTCCAAGAATTTAATACTCTGTCATAGAGACAGCCTCAAATACTTACAAATTCATTTTGATATTTAGCATGATATATATGACCAAGAATAAATTTTTTACAAAATCAATGTTGTTTTAAATCAAGTTACCAGCTGAATTAAAATGTTTAAAACTATTTAAATATCTGTCCAATGCCATGTAATGAGGTAGCAGTAGTCAAGTTTGGTTTGGAATATTAATAAGGTCTCAAACTTCACAAAGCAACAGCCTCACTCTTTGTGGATCTTGGTAAAGTGGTTTCATTTGTAATTCAGCTCTAGTTTGAAAAAATCTGGCAGAAATTAAATTCAAAAAGTTTCTTGAATTTTTAGAAAATAGTAGAATACAATTATGGGTAAATACATATTGGCTTCTAAGGATGCAATCAAGAATATTTCTGGGGATAGAAGGCTATTGCACCATCAATTAGACCAAATCCATCAATTTAAAAATTATGTTTTGAATTAATAATAAAGCTTGAACAACGATCATGCTTCCTAATTTTTTTTTACCATTAAATTTAGAAGTCTTTTCTGATAAGAACACACACACACTTCATGGCACCACGTTCTTCCAAAGACCTGTGACAAATGCTAACAGTGAGATAATATCTGTAGCAGACTGCAAGGCATGTGTGACTTGGACGTGAGGACTATATAATTTGTTAACTTCACTATATTTCTTGACCAAACACTCAATCCACAATCCTGATCAGTCATCTTCAAATGCGAAAAGGAGGCAGTATGATGAATCCTAGCAAAATAACACCTCAGCACACTATAGGTGAATAATTAATGAAATAAATGTCTAACTCTGTGTATTGGTATATGTGTACTTGTATAATTTGAGGATGGTAGGAAAAGACTGATGTAAGATGTCTACAAAGGCTCATTAATGTGGTCCCATTTTAAGCATACTACCCATGCAAAACTAATTCGCTAAGTGAAAATAAATTCAATTTTAGAGAGAATGAAGTTAAATACACAAAACAAGAATTATGAGATAACCTCTTGATATTCGTTTATTTTCACTGACAACAAACTTAAGATTTGGTACTTGTTATCCAAGCACACACTTCAGAAGAAATTAGTCACAAAGCTCATGAAAGTAACTGCATTTTTAGCTGTTAAATAGAGCATTTACCTATGGTTATAACATACAACAGTTTATTTTCTGTGCCTACTTGTAAAATTTTTTCCACAATAATAGATTGTGGTTGTTGTATACCACAAGCATGTTTAAAAGAGATAGCTTTTAAGCATAGTTCTACTCAGGCCAGTTCTCACATCTTTTATCTTACTCAGAAGAGGTACAAGCTGAATGGTCATCGTACTCATAAAATACTCTTGGTTCTCTCACCCTCCCCCAGGGACAAAAGATGATTGGTAGTTATAGTTCAGTTATGTTTAATTGAACAATATTTCTTACTCACCACTACAATAACAGATATTTGTTAATATTTTGTACACCTCACAGTATAAATGGCAATCTGACAGACACACAAAATCATGTAAGAAGGTTATTATTAAGTAGGAAGACAAAACTAAAAACACACATTGAAAAATTGGAGACATTACATAATGAGGGGGCAAATGTGATGCGCTCAACATTAGTACAGTTCTGTTCCCTCACTAGTGACAGGTAAATCAAGTAGCATCTTCGTATCAAGATAGTGTTCTGGTGGCAAATTGCAGGTACAGGAGATTGGTGTTAAGGAGAACGCCCTTAGTTGTTATGGTTCCTTTTTAATAGCATAATTCAGGGACAGTGTTGTATACCAGAGTTCTCATCAAATTTGAGATTTTTAAAAAATGGAAATAGAGATTAAAAGAAATAAGAAAGATAAAGGGATTAAAATAAAAATTACAGAAGATGAAAGGAGCAATAAGAGGTGTCAGATTTCTTAGTGATTACATGTAAAAAGTTGTAATGAGGGCAATCACTTTGCAAATATTAAATAATGCAACTTATTTACCTCACAGTCATCTACAGAGACCAAGACATGTTATTTTTTAGTCCAGTATAGAAAATGGCAAAACAAGCTGTGCTAACAAGGTGTGCTAAACCCTCTACCTTTCCTTTAGTGAACTACAGAGATGTACCTGAATGGTCAAATTCCAAAATTTTTACATAATGAGCTGAAGACACTCTTGAAATCCATGAAGTTGGAATCAGAGGTAGACAAAGACAGGTAAGGGAGACCAAGTCAGGGTTCAGGGAGTGGTGCTCCTCTCTAGGACTTTAAATCCCAGAAGGGAGGAGAACTTACTGGTGGATGGCAAGTGGATGTCCTGTCTCCATTGCAAATATAGGAGGAACCATCTTTCAGGTTGTTCCTGTGGAAACATTGAACTTTCTACTGGGAGTGGAAGAGAGCCCAAAAAGCAGATGGGCAGAGGGACACGGCCTCAGTTTAAACCCAGCGTTTCCCTCTGCTCCTCTCACTCGTGGATGAACCTGAGAAAAGACTACTGGCTCTCAACGTGTGGATAAAAAGGAACCTAGCACATGTTTCTTATAAAAGGGATATGGTGACCCTGCAGCAGAGGTTATAGTGTTGGCGTTCTAGGCCAAGAAGCGGATAGAGGATATGGCCAAAACTCAGTAGGTTTTCTCTGCCATCTAGAGACAAGATGAGGCCCAGTTAATCAGAAAGCATGAGAGAGGACAATCCATGTAGCAAGGGTATCCAATATTTTGGCTTTGATGGGCCACATTGGAAGAAAAAGAATTGTCTTAGACCACACATAAAATGCACTACCAGACAGCTGATAAACTAGGGGAAAAAAACACCAAAAAAATTCATAATGTTTTAAGAAAGTTTACAAATTTGTGTTGGGCCACATTCAAAGCAATCGTGGGGCCGTAGGTTGGACAAGCTTAGGCTACAGGTTACTCCAGCCAGATGGGGGAGCAGTGACTGGGCCAGGATTGCTGTGTCTCAATGGAGGATAGCAAGTATCCACCCAGTAACAGCATGAGTCCAACGAGTTCCATTTGTCCCCTGCCACATGGTCATGTGAGACCCTTTTTCTCACACGAGTGACACTATCTTAGAAAAAGAAGCAGGGAAAAGGGGAGTTAGCATAAAGATACTAAACACAAGTGTTTTCAATAGTAGTGAATAGAAAGTTAAAAACTTTTATTCATTTACTTTTGTTTTGTTTTGTTTTGTGCTCTCATTTAGTGAGTGCTTATTATGACCAAAATATGAAGAAAAAAAAGTCCTTTCAATAAGAATGAAACTTGCCATTCCCACCACAAATTTATTTTTTTCCTAGTTAAAATCACTTTTAATGAAATGTTTAAAAAATCCCTACATAGTTCTCCCTTTAAGATAAAAAAAAAAGTACAGGAATTTATTGGGGGGCACGGGAGGGGGGGCCAAGATGGCCAACTAGAAGTAGTGGTGATCAGAGGCTTTCATCTAAAAGAAGCAAAAGAGCATACAAATCCTGCACCAGCCACCAAAGTATCCAGTTCTGTCATCGGGACTGATAGGCGGCTGGCATGACCCAGAGAGAAAAAGGAAGAGCAGTGTGGTGTGGCTGCCTACCTGAGAGCCACACAGGGCAGGGGAGCCCCCACACCCAGACAAGGGAGGCAGGAAGTAAGTGTGCTACCCAGCCTGGGGAACCTTGATTTTTCCAAGGAACTGTGCAACCCATAGATCGGGAAGATCCCACTCATGAACCCATGCCACCAGGGCCTAGGGTCCCAACCACAGAGCCACGCAGATTCTCAACAGCCACTTGACTGGAATCTGCTTAAGTCTGCCAAGTTTGTGGGGGGAGGGGCGGCATCACCACTGCTGCTGTTGCTTGCTGTCTAAGCCTTATGAGTTCCTTGGGGGAGGGGCAGCAGCCAACATTGCAGCTGCTAGCTACCTAACACACTAAGCTCCCAGTGGGGAAGGGCGGCAGCCATCACTAAAGCTCCAGGCCACACTTTTCCGTTGCTGAAGCCAGGGAGGCTGGATGACTGGGTCCCAAGAGGTATTCCCCACAGCCCAGCCACCAGCTATGGCAGACTACAGCCAGACTGCCTCTTTAAGCCAGACACTGACCCATCCCTCCTCACTGGGCGGGGCCTCCCTACACTCCAGCCAGGGGCTCAGGGACAGAACTCTGATCTCCCTGAGCCTGAGCCCCTAGAGAAAGGGGTGGCCATAGTCTCTGTGAACCAGCAGACTTAGTCTTTCCTTCTGCTAGCTCTGAGGAATCCAGGCAGCCCAGAAGAGTAGGTTTCCCTCCAGTGCAGCACATCCCCTCCACCACAGGACAGCAAAAGTGC